TGAACCACTGCCCAGGTATATGGCCAGCATCAGGACACTCACGGGTTAGCAGACATCTCAGAATTGTACAATATGGGACATTTGCTTTTCATCCATTCTATGGGACTCTGGGACACCTTCAAGATAATTCGCACTTCTCTCGAGAAATGAGAACTATAACCCCACCAGATGGTTAGAACCTCTAAAAAACATTTCTGCTATTACTAGTGTGCAAGATTGACAGTTATTTGGGCTCACTATCGTTTTCATGTACATTCCGACAATGCCTGATTGGATTAGCTATGCTTGAATTGGTTGTACTGACTGCAAGCACCAGTGGATCACACTTAGGCTCCTATAGACCTATGATAAGGAGACCTGACATGGATACTCTTCCGTTAATTATTGTGACAGTATTATTAAATGGTCCTTTTTGACACAAGATGACTACACTGAGCACAAAGTTATTTCTCTTTGAAGTAAATATCCAAAATGAACTGAAGGAATAAAGATTACAAGCTCCACAAACGCTAAAGCACATCCAGCCAAATGAAAATGTCATATTGTGTTAGTAGCTTAGCTCATGAAGAAAGTTTGTTTCTGTCAAACATAGTACATTCAAACACCACAGGTTCTGCAATAGTATGGAAATCTTACAGCAACAAAAACCTTATTTCACGAATCCAATAGGGGGAATGAATAATAACTGTACAAATATATACAACAAAACACTAATAAACACAATAACATGACTACAGTGGGACCTACAATAAGAAGCTAAAATGAATCATTGAAAACATTTGCTCCATTTAGTTTGCTCATTTACTTACTGTAATGTAACTTTATTCCACAAATTGACTTGGGTTCATGGCTCCAACCCCCTCTGCAATAATAATAGCCAGTGTTTTCTTTTTTGGAGGAGCTATTTGTTTTTTTTCTCCATTTTTTACAGGTGGACCTTTATCACATATCTCAGGAGGCCACAGGTGCCCATTCACAGAGCAGCTAGCAGGGCAGAGTTGCATGTGCCATGGGGGGATGGGCTTTCTGAACCCAGAATCTGGTTGAAGAGGACCACAATGGTGGAGCTGGACTGAAGTTGACACCCAAACAGCAGATTGCTGCAGGACAACGCTAGATCCACTGGGCAGGCGAGTATGATTTTTATAAGAATGCAGCATAACAAGTAAGGTGGGGTGCAGGCAGGGGCGGACTGACAACGCATGGGGCCCCCGGGCAATAGGGGATTATGGGGCCCCTGTGTCCTTGCCCAAACTCAAAAAAGCCTATGAAAAAGGTACCAGGGGCATCTCATGGGGCCCCCTACTGACCCGGGCCAAATGGTCAGTCCGCCCCTGGGTGCAGGAGGAAACGGGATGGGGGGAATGAAGTTCTTCTTTAATGATTATATTTAGATCTGTGTTTTTCCCAGATCTGCTTACATCCAAAATGTTCAGAGGTTTCACTGAGAAATACAATGTGGCAACATTTTTGTTACATTGCATTTCCTTTGTTTTAAATATATTTGCAGATCAAAGGGGTGGCCTTTGTAAAAGAAAAACTAATGCAACAACTAAGGGCAGGTAAGCTGCATTATAAAAGATTTGGTTTTAGGTTACGATTTTTAAATAAAAAAAGTAAAAATATTTCTTGTGTGGCGATAGGATATTTCATCCTGGTAGGAAGATGATTTTGAGCTAAGCAAGACAAGTCACATTACACAGCACGTATCCTGTATTGTGTGGAGGGGTTAGGCAGCCCATAGCATATGCAACTTTCTTTTCTTCCACCACAAGTGGAAGGAAAGAAAATTACTCGATTCCTCCATCAACACAGTCATTGTTGATGGGGGAATCCCTCCAACAGTGCTGTTGTGTTCTGCTGGCAGGGGGGCCTTCAACACCAGTAGAATACAATGATGCTATAACCGCCAGCAGTGATTGCATGAAAAAAAAAAAAAAAAAAAAAAAAAAAAAAAAAAAAAATCGATGGATCGACTTCAGTACAACCAGCCTGCCCACAGATACACTGCTAAAAAAAAAATTAAAGAGACACTTTGAAAACACATCATATCTCAATGGGGAAATATATCATGCACGATATCTATACTGGTATGGACTGGGTAATGTGTTAGGGACATAAGGATACCCCATAGTTTGATGGAAATGAAAATTATCAACCTACAGAGGTCTGAATTCAAAAATACACCCCGAAAAATCAAAGTGAAAATATGATGCAGCAGGCTACTCCATTTTGCTGAAATTTAATTGCAGCAGCTCAAAATGGTACTCAGTAGTTTGTATGGCCCTCACGTGCTTGTTATGCATGCCTGACAAAGTTGGGGAATGCTCCTAATGAGACAACGGACGATCACTGAGCTCCTGGACAGTCTGAGGTGCAACCTGGTGGCGTCAGATGGACCGAAACATGATATCCCAGAGGTGTTTTACTGGATTTAGGTCAAGCGAGTGTATGGGCCATTCAATGGCATCAGATCCTTCATCCTCCAGGAACTGCCTGCATACTCTTGCCACATGAGTCCAGGCATTGTCGTGCACCAGGAGGAACCCAGGACCCACTGCACCAGTGTAGGGTCTGACAATGGGTCCGAGGATTTCATCCCGATACATAATGGCAGTCAGGGTGCCATTATCTAGCCTGTAGAGGTCTGTGTGTCTCTCCGTGAATATGCCTCCTCAGACCATCACTGACCCATCACCAATACGGTCATGCTGAATGATGTTACAGGCAGCATAACATTCTCCATGGCTTCTCCAGACCTTTTCACTTCTGTCATATGTGGTCAGGGTGAACCTGCTTTCATCTGTGAAAAGCACAGGGCACTATTGGTGGACCTGCCAATTCTGGTGTTCAATGACGATTGCCAATCGAGCTCCATGGTGTTGGGCAGTGAGCACAGGGCCCACTAGAGGATGTCGAGGCCCCCAGGCCCCCCTCATGGAGTCTGTTTCCGATTGTTTGGTCAGAGACATTCACACCAGTGGCCTGCATGTACAAAGGAGAAGATGCCAGTCCTGCTGATGGGTTAAGGACCATCTACGGCCTTGCCCATCTCTCCTAGAGTAACTGTCTGTCTCCTGGAATCTCCTCCATGCTCTTGAGACTGTGCTGTGAGACACAGTAAACCTTCTGACAATGGCACAAAGTGATGTGCCATCGAGGAGGAGCTGGATTTCCTGTGCAACCTTTGTAGGGTCCAAGTATCGCCTCATGCTACCAGCAGTGACACTGACCCTAGCCAAATGCAAAAAGGTGAATAACAGTCAGAAAAGACGAGTAGCAGAAAATGTGTTGGTTGCAGTGGATATTGTTTTTTTTTTTTTCTTTTGTAATTAAATGGCTATGTAAAGGCAAATACTCAATGCTGTCAGGAGATTTCCAAAGGTTAACTTCATGAGCAAACAACCCTGGGCTATGTTAATTCTAAATAACTTCTCCACAATGTGGAGTTGTCCATTGATTTACAGACCTCAGCTCATTTCCTTCCTCAGGAGAACTGGAGGTAGGTTGACATCTCAGCCCTTATCAGGGATCTACTTCACTGAAATGGCCTTCCTTGTAGGTGCTGCCATAAATCTTCAATCTCTTCGTAGTGACTCCTTTAATATGCAGTTCATCTTAGGGCTCAGAAGTCAAACAATCCTTAGTTCTGCTATTACAGTTAGGTATCGAAGGCCTGTAAATGACTGGATAGCTCCTCTCTGTGGAGGTTTACACTTGCAATATGTATTCAAAATACCTACTTCAAGGTTTCTCAACCAGGGTTCCTCTAGAGGTTACCAAAGGTTTCTTGAATCAGGGTCAAATTTCATATCCTGTGGTACTAGCCAGGCCTTAAGAGCTGCCCTGACCTCAATTCCACCCCTAAGCACACCCTCATAAATTATCTAATTAAATTACACTGTTAAATGTTTTATGCACAATAAAGTTACAAAGATAAATATATACCCCCCTTCATACACCCCTCCCCCTCACAGTCATGTCCTAAACCCCCCTTTTTACCCCCCCATGAGGTGAGAGACAGAGGGGGTGAGAAAGAGAAGGGAATGAGAAAGAGGGAGCGAAAGAGGGGGGGGGGGAGAAAGAGAGAGGGAAGTGATGGAAAAAGAGAGGGGGGGAGAGAAAGAGGGGGTGACCAGTATGTCTGCTACTCACAATTATGCCCCCCAACCCCCCATAATATGAGGTTATAATGAACACACAACCCCTCTCTTAGAACACATGGTCTCCATTATGGTACAATGCACACTCCCCCCTCCGCAGAACACACACACAGGGCCCCCCTACTATATAAAGTGAATACAGAGCCCCCATCACCGCACACACATGAACACACACACAGGTCTCCACTCAGGCTCTCTCAGCCTGTCACACTCTGGTTCTCAGCTCTGCTGGCACAAACAGCTCACCCACTTTCCTCCCACTGTTACCAGTCCGAGAAGTGTCCTCCTCCAAGCACTCTGTCAGTCTCTCTCTCTCTCTTCTCACCTGACCAGACACACAGCCTGCTTGCACAATCCACCCTGTGGCCCTCCCCACCCTTCCAGGAGCCTTTCATAGGGTCCCCTATGGACCCTGGGCAGTGTCTGGTGCCTGAGTGCCCAAATGGTTAGTCCACCCCTAGCACTGGCACCCTGCTCCATGCCCATCAGCTGCCACTGTCTGATCGATGACTGCAAATGGCCAGTGCATGCCTGCTCGCCCCCACGTTATTTCCACTTGCCCAATGCGAGTAGGTGAGTGGAAATTTTGAGGTCTGCTTGAACAATGGGTAATTTCTGCCTCTCAGATAAGTTCCCACTGAAACCACTGATTTTTTAGCGAACTGTAAGGGGGTCATTCTTCCCAATGACCACAAGTATACGGAGCATTCTTCCCACTGTCTATCACACTAATGTATCATGAGTTGTAGATATAGTAATTCTTAGCAGGGATTGAACTATATCCTGTAATATTATGAAAGTAATTACAGCATACAGTTATCTGACTTTATGTCATACTTACTTTACATCTTCCAATTTTTTTGTAATGACGGAGCCAACTGTAGAGATGGCTGCTGAGGCTCTCTGTCCAGCAGTGGACAGAGTCTCTGAGGTTTTTCTGTACCTGAAAACAAGAAAAATAGTGAGACAAATTATGGAAACATGACTGTATGGGTTTAGGTAGGTAGGGTTTAGGTACACAACCTGTTTGTTTGCCCTGCATCAGCAAAGCACAATGAGCAAACCTCACAGCTGTCTGTGAGATTTGACTTCCTGAAAAATATTTTTATGTCCCATATAGTACATTGTTCATATCACATGGCTAGCCTTAATCCTTCAAATCATCAGAACCCTTCTAGGGGCTGATTGTGAATATGCTGCAAATGGAATAAGCTACCATCTGTCTAATAATTTAAGGAAGATGGTGCTGATACCAGAGTTTTCCTTTACAGACCATTTAATCTTTGGACCAGTGCAAATGTCTATAACCGCAACAAATGTATGGGATACTGTAAACACAAAATGCATTAAAAAAAAAAAAAGGACCACAAACAACATTTGCTATCATTGTGTAAGTGTCACTAGATCTGGGAAAGTCAAAACTCCTTTTTATTCTGACACTCTGATTCTGATCACTATATACTGGCAGATAACTAAAAATCTATATACCAATATAATTTATAAATGGAATAACTCTGAAATAATTCTACAGATAGTTATTTTCATCCCTCTGACTATTAAGAGTAATGCGTCCAGCTCAAGTGACACTGCAACAGGACAAATCTTATTGTCCCATAACTCCATGGGTATTAAACAGACTGCTGAAATGGTTTACAGTCCACACACTACATTTAAGCATGTTTAGATACATTTACATGGGTTTAGAAGCGTCAAGCGTTTTTCTGCCAAAACTCTGCTGCTCCTGGATGCTCTGGAAGTGGCTTTTTCTTTTCTAAACGCATATGCCTCAAAATGTGTGCATGGACACGTAGGCTAACCTGCAGGGGAGTTTAGATGCAGAAAAAAACATGCCAGATGCCCCTAGAAGCAGCTGTAAAAATGTTCAGTGTGCATGAGGCCTCAAACGTTTTAACAAGAATGCATCCAGATTAAACAAGTATGCAAGGGTGGGCTCCATAGGACCTCGCAAGGTAATGGAGACACCCTAAGGCCTCAATCACAGAAGTTTAGAGGCAGGAGAACCCAGAGGCAAAAAAAAAAGAAAGAAAAAAAAAAAAGCACCTCACTTGTGCTTTCAAGAGAGTAGCGTTTTGGCTGAAAAAAGGCCACAACACACCTAAATAAGTGTAAACATGTCTAATCGTGCCTAAGCTAGGAAGCACTAGGAATGTTTAGCGATTGAGCATTATTCATTTTAATGACCCGGATAAATTAATATTCTATTCTAGAATGCCTAAGCACTGAACGCGCCTCAATTCGTTTGCAAAAATGCGGCTTAGGTGCATTTTTGAAGCTGCTTTTCTCCTACCAGGAGAGAAATACATAGGGACTACATCTTAATGGCTAGTGCTCTGGGGACCATCTAAGTTTGATATAAAAGTAAACTTACAACATAAAGATGCACAACACATGGTGAGTGATTTCAGCAACATCCCAAATAACTATAGAAAAGTAGTAAGTCTTAATTTTACAATAACAATAAAATCAGAGCAGACACAATTCATTAGTCTTTATATAAAATCAGACTGTATCCACTTTGCTTTAGATAAGTTCTCAAGAAGTTCCTGCATAGGCCTGGTTGGCTGGTGAAGTGTTTATACAGTCTCCATATCAAGCCAGAAGCAGTGTTCTGCTTTTTTGTAATAAGAAATACAGCAGTTGCAATAAGCATGTCGTGGCTATTATCTGCTACCGCGAATTGCTGGCAACACTCCCTGCTAGAGATATGACTCTTTTCTGTAGTCCTCTCCCTGCAGCCATGCTCACTAAACTAAAACAGATCTATTCCAAGTCCTTCTATATGTGCAGGCACCAGTAGCTTCTTACTATAGAGACAGAGACTCAGGCTGTCCATACCCTGTTCAGATTTTAACTACTTCCTGATGAGCCAGCTTAGTAGGTAGCCTTGTTGACCCCCTCCCACCCAACATCCTTCAACTGAAAAATTGTACGCTGAAATTATAAATATTTAACAGTGTATGGTTAGCTTTAGCCTATGCAACTTGCAGTCCTGTTTGGACTAAGGTTGGTCATAGATGAATTTTTTCAATCAGTGGCCTGGTGGAAATAAAAAAAAAATAAATTAACGGATTCCCCCATCCACATGGTTGGAGGAGTCCTCCCTGCAGTGCCATTGTATTCTGATATTGGGAATCCTCCGTTGTCAGAATATACAAGGTTTTTTTTCAACATTCCCATTCAACAGAAGTGGATTGTTAGATCAAATTCTGTCGAGCAGGAATGCCATAGATGGATTGAAATTAGGCTGCTCCCTGCTGAACCAACCAAATTTTGATCCACCTATGGCCAGCTTAAGCAAATAAAGCATGGTTAACAAGCATGGGATATAATTCATCAAATTTGCAAACCACCTGTACAGGCTTTCAGTATTCAGTTTTATCAACTCCCTTCAAAATATTGTAATCCTTTGACTGCTTTGTAAAATTATTGGATGATCTCTAGGAAAGATGGTTCCTTCTGGATGAAATTAGATGTCAGATTGAAAAACAATTTAGTACAATTGTTTTGTGATAACCATTTTGTCATTGAGGTTTTACTATAGTTGTGTGGGCAGCAATACAATGTAGAAAAATATTTTACATCAATGACATTCTAAAGTTACAATGGTTCTGATTATCCTTTTTCCATGTGTGTGGCCAGCAACTGGTGCACTGCATAGAAAGAACGGAACTTACACATTGGTGGAGGCAACATCTTGTAGGCCTTTGGAAATGTTTTGCTTCAGTTCAGTCAGAGGAGTTACTCCAAGCTTTCTTTTTATATCCGCTAAACGCTTCTCTTTTGCAGCTAGTACTTGATTGAGTGTTTGTATTTCTTCTTCTACCTGAAAGGCAGTGAAATGTTACAAAGACGGCCAATTACCATAAAAGGTACATCTTGTGTGTAAACATCCAATGCACTTAAAGTTAAATGGTGGGGATGAAAAATATTTACTCTTAAGCTGGCCACAGATAGAATTTTGAACAAAAATTCTTAGAAAAAGTCTAAGGCAAATTCGTACAAAAATTCTCAGATCATTTGAATGTTGTTCAAAAGATTTCATTCGCTTTTAAGACTTGCTTTTATACTGATAAAAAGGTCATTCATTTGAGAAAAAATTTTCATCCTGCTCCTTTGAATTATCTCGGCACTGTGGTAAAAAAGGAACATCAATTCAGTCCACTAATAATTAGAAAAAAAAACAACAAACTTTCTTAGAGCATTCTTTTCCTAAAGTTTTTTGTCAGAAATTCTACCCATGGTCATCTTTACAGTGAGGATAACGAATAAAGCTATATACTTACCTTATTCCTTACTTTCCCGGCAGCTGGCACTTCCCTCCACTGTCTGATGTCCTGGGATGTGTCATCCTATAAAACCTCTGGTCCGGAATTGTACAGGATGACATTAGAGAGCTGCGACCAGTGGGACAACAAAGGGGAGAGGCTTTGGGGGGCTGATCATACAAAGAGGAGAAATCCCGTGGGAGTGAGGAATAAAGTAAATACAGTACTGTGTAGGAGTTATGGGCAGTTGCAAAACATGTAAAGTAGGAATGCTTTCATATATATAAGTGTTAATAGTTTATTTTTATCAATTAATAAAATAAAAAGTAAATGAACAGAAGAGAAATCCAAATCAAATTAATATTTGGTGTGACCACCCTTTGCCTTCAAAACAGCATCAGTTCTTCTAGGTACACTTGCATACAGTTTTTGAAGGAACTCAGCAGGTGTCTTGTTCCAAACATCTTGTAGGACTAACCACAGATATTCTGTGAATGTAGGCTGCCTAAAATCATTCTGTCTCTTCATGTAATCCCAGACAGACTCCATGATATTGAGATCAGGGCTCTGTAAGGAACCAAACCATCACTTCCAGGACTCCTTGTTCTTCCTTGTGCTGAAGTTACTTCTTAATGACATTGGCTGAATATTTTGGGTCGTTGTCCTGCTGCAGAATAAATTTTGGGCCAATCACACACCTCCCTGATGGTATGGCATGATAGATAAGTATCGCCCTGTATTTCTCAGCATTGAGGACAGCAGTGATCCCAACCAAATCTCCAAATCCATTTGCAGAAATGCAGCCCCAAACTTTCAAGGAACCTCCACCATACTTCACTTTTGCCTGCAAACAATCATAATTGTACTGCTCTCCAGCCCTTTGGTGAACAAACTGCCTCCTGCTACAGCCAATGAATTAAACATTTTGAATCATCAGTCCAGAGAACCTGTTGCCATTTTCTGCACCCAGTTCCTATGTTTTTGTGCATATTTGAGTCACTTAGCCTTGTTTCCATGTTGGAGGTATGGCTTTTTGACTGCAATTCTTCCATAAAGACCACTCCTGGCCAGACTTCACCAGACAGTAGGTGGATGTACCTGGGTCCTACTGGTTTCTACCAGTTCTGTGCTGATGGCACTGCTGGACATATTCCAATGTCAAAGGAAGATAAGCATGATGTGTCTTTCACCTGCTATATTAAGTTTCCTTGGCCAACCACTGCGTCTACAATCCTCAATGTTGCCTGTTTCTTTATATTCTTCACAAGAGCTTGATGAATTGAATTGAGGCTGGTTTGAAGCCAAAGGGTAGTCACACCAAATATTGATTTGACTTAGATTTTTCTTCTGATAGATAACTTTACATTTTGTAAACTGATAAAAAGAAACAATTAAAAAATATATTTTTTAAAGCATTCTCTCTTTACAGCATTTCTTTACATTTGCCTATAACTTTTGCACAGTGCTGTATATCACTTTATTCATAATCCCCTAGGCAAAAAAGTAGTTAACCCTTGCAGTGAGGAGGGGGACCCACTGCAATTGTAAAGATTTTTCATCCCTGGAATTCAGTCTTAAAGCGAAATAGTTAAATACAGAGTTCAATTGCTTATATTGGAGTTGTTGTGCCTGTCAAAGAATGTGTTGTGCTGTTCAGTCATTCCTGAGATTTTACACAGCACTGCCATACAGCATGTTTTTAAGCAAGCTTTTAGCAGGTCTCAGTAGGCTTTTATTAAGCTTTATCAATATAAAAGCCTGCTGAGGTCTGTTTATATAAAATAGAAAGCCTGTAGTAGGCTTCAGTGTGGCAAATTGTCAACCAGAATTATTATTACCATAAAAAATTAAACCAATTCTCATTGGTTACCTTTTCCAGCTCTCTCCTGAGGTTTTCCTGCTCTTCATCTGATAACGTGTCCTTTACAGTCGCAGCTGCATCTTCTCCTTCTGGTACATTTTCAGGTTTCAGCAAATCTATTTGCATGATAACAGATACATCTTCTGTCAGTTTGTAGGCTTTAAATACATTATTTTTAAATGTTAACATGCTTTCTAAAACAAGATTATTGAGAGGTAGGCAATTTAAAGGAATATAAGTCTTTGTGGGACAGTTGGTCAAACAGTAAATAACCATTTACAGACCATGACAGATTGGAAATATTGGTTCATAAAAGTTTGATGTTAAAAGAGAAGTGTGAGTTTATAAAAAAAAAAACCAAAAACATACATACATATATACATACTCACCTAGACTGCTACAGCATCAATCCAATACTGCATCTGTCCCCTGATGGCTCTACACTGAGAACTGAATGATCAAAGACATCTGATCACTCAGTTCTTGGTCTTCACCAAGCAGAGAGCCAGTGACTGTTGGTCACTGGTTCTCTGCTCTGCTCCTCCACAGCCCAGCACTCCAGGAGTGACTCTCAACAGCACACTAAGAGGCTGAGCCAGCTGCTGGTCAGGCATCTGTGTAGATCCCGAAATTATTGTTGGGATCCCTGCAGAGCCTGGTTCGGCTCTTGTGACCCACAGAAGTATGGCCAATAAAAGCTTTGGCCAAACTTCTTTATTGTTGCGGTTTGGAAGAAAGCCAACCAGTCTGCCCACATGAGAGGCATTCAGTGACTCCACTGGATGGGTCAGCGTAGGAGAAGCTGTGGCTGTCATCAGTGAAAAGCTGATCAGTATCTCCTATGGATTCCTAAGAAACAAGAAATACAAATGGAAGATCCTCATGCTGGTAGAATTGCTTGTCAGGATGCCAGTAGTGAGGAGCAAATTTCAAGCTGGGCATACACTAGCAGAATTTTTTTTGGAACTGGAATCGACAATTGTTTTTGACCACAGTGACAAGAAAATTTGAATAACCAGTTTATGTGGTTTTCTTTCTACTAGTGTATGTTCAGCTTTAATAAATCTGTTCTTCTGGACATGAGGCACTAGGCAACCCACCCAGTGTTTACTAATCTACCAAAAGGATCCACTTGAACCCCTGTACTGGTTCACTTGAGGAGCCTGAGTTGATTGGTTAACTCAGTGGCAAAATGGCGACATTAGGTGAACACAAGTTTGGTTTGGCCCAATCCAGTGCAAACTCCAGTTTGATTGAACTTGTCCAATCATCCCTAAAGTATAAAGTGTTTAAAAAATGATAGAATTTAGTTGCTACAGTTTACAGCTAACTCCACATAATCACATTCCTCTGACTTGCTTTACTCAGTAAGTCTCAGAATGCCCTGTTATAATTAAATTATTCACATCAGATGACTGGCTGTACATGGACAGATTTCAAATTTCAACATTGTGATGTCTTTGCATTATAAGAACACTTATAAGTAAAAATCATTATATACTGCAGTTCTGTAATTTGTATGATTTTAGGCCCATTCAATCTACTGTGGTGCAGTAAGGGGGGTTATGTGCGCTGGTGCACACGGTGTCATCTATTAATAATGGCACCCCGATGTATCCTGCCAAAGGAGTTATAGAATATCACACCACCTAGTAATGCCCTACCATGCATTGGTTTGTGCTGTATTACAAAAATGGTACATGCACCTTAAACAGGCAATCCTAAAGGAACACACGTTAACATGCAATCTAACGTGTATTAACACACCATAACGGTGTGACCCTAGTCTTAGTCAGGCAAGCAGGGGAAACATTTCAACTGCAATGTCACATCCTTTTTAGGACCAAGTATTTTTGTACCGAGAATTTTACCATTTCCATTTTCATCCAGTGTATCTTAAGAGAAGACAAAGAACTGAAGAAAATTTACAAAACCATTTCTTATCATTACTGTGAACTATTCTCAAATTCAGGCAATGTGAAAAGTTAGGCAGTTTGGGTAGCTGCATGCAGACTAAAGCTGGCTATATACGGTTAGTTCTTTCTTGTTCAGCCAGTGGGCTGAATGAAAACAAAAAACAGATTCCACAATCCATTCAAACAAGGTAGATGGTCCCTGATAATGTCATTTTTGTTGAAACCCGTAGGATGGAGTGCTGACATCACATCCCAAGTGGGATGGCAGTAAGGTGAGAAGATGGTTTCACTGTGTTTGGTGCACTTACACATTCATCTTTGTAAGTTTTACTCTTGCTTTATAATAAATGGATAGGTTTTAATTACATCAGGTTTAGCGCTTTTCTCTTTTCCATACATGATATGATGCTGTATATTGTGGAGGTATTCTGGTGGACTGTTGGCTGATGTGTCATTCATCTTTTTTTATGAAAGTCCATTTACAAGTGCTAGAATTCTTATAGCAGGGGTCTCCAAACATTCTAAAGAAATGGCCAGATTACTGTCCTTCAAACTTTAGGGGGGGCCTGACTGAGTAAACAATGCACGATCTTTGGTATTAGAGGACAAGTAGTTGGTGTCAGTGAGAGGAATAGTGCACCGTTTTTATTGTGAGTGGAAGGAACTATGCTCCATTGTTGGTGGCAATGGTAGGAATAGTGCCCCATTGTTGGCATCAGTGGCAGAAATTATGCCCTATTTTTGGTATTAGAGGAGAAGTAGTTGGTGTCAAGTGGGAGGCATAGTGCACCATTTTTGTCAGTGGAAGGAACTATGCCCATTGTTGGTGCCAATGGTAGGAATAGTGCCCCATTGTTGGCATCAGTGGCAGGGATCTGCCCCATTTTTGGTGTCAGTGGCAGGAATAGAGCCTCAGAGACTGGATAAAGATAAGCAACGTGCTGCATCTGGCACCAGGGCCGCAGTTTGGAGACCACTGTCTTATAGCTTTGAGGTAATGATATCTTTTGGTGGTGGATAGAGTTTTTCACAGTGGAATTGGCTGTGAAACATCTTGGATTGCACTTTGCGGCCAATTGGCTTCTGTCAAGTGTGGAGAGCCAAAACACTAATGGTAATCTGGCCAGTCACAAGTGGGCATTTTATGTCTTTTGGGATTCCAGCTACAAGATTTGTACATTTGCATTCACAAGTTTACACACCTAAGCAATTGCAATCTGATTTTTCTGGGGTGGAATGAGCTTTTAAAAAAACACATCCATACACAAGGACTGTACAAACTAAATACAAAGTCACCACAAAAAACCCCCCCAAACATTAAACTTATATATATGTGAATAAAACATAAGCAAAATAAAATAATCCAACAGATAAAACTAAATTTACAATCAAGGCTCCATCTGCCTGCATAAACAATCCATAAATCTGAGGAATGCCAGGGTGCCAAGCACAGGGTCTTTCTAGCTATAAACAAATGCAGTTGGCGGATAAATGGAAATCGGATTATGGCTTCTTATACACTTTCATGAATTATACAGCAAATATAAACTACCGCAGGCAGGGATCATATAATGAATTCCTAGAGCTGACCCAGAACAGATTACGTCACTTAGTATAAACATAGTAGAAAGATTACACTCTACAATTACCCCAGGGACTGGAACTAATAATACAGGAATGGTTTTCAGAAATGAAATTTACTCTCTACCAGCCAATGCAAGCTACAGGGACCGAGAACCCAGCCAAAAACCAAAAGCCAATGATGTGTGGGCACACATGACAGGTCAACACTTGTGGATGTTAATATTTCATTAGCAGGGAAATCATTTTAATCCTACATTTCATACAGGTGCCCTGTGATTGCTAATTATTCACCAGAAACTGTGAAGAGACTGTCATCTTTAAATGCTAATGAAATGACCCAGGGTAAAATTATGGTTTCATCTCAAATCATTGCTTGCAAGCTAGCAGCAGCAGCATCTAAATAAGAAAGAAAGAAATATGGTCTTGCTTCGAAAGCAAGAGATGATTAACTCTTTCCAGGAAAATGCTGCTTCTCAGTTTATGAGGTCATAAACTGCTAGTTGTATATGAAATTAATTTATGTACATTCCTTAAAAGCCACAAAGGTTAATTAATCCACTTTTTGAGCACCAATACCTTTACAAATCCAGATATTGCTTTGCAAACTTAGCAATGACATCACTGTGCTGTATGTAGCCTGAGTAGAGAGCAGAGCAGGCCCCTCCCACTACAGTCTGCCTGCAGAAACACTACAGGATGGGGAGGAAACCAGTCACCCTGCGCAATGTGAGAGCGCAAAAGTGACTGGTCTTTATTACAGAAAAGTTTTGCACAGGATTACTGCGCAGATCTGGAAGAAAAACACAAAGCCCTTACACTGTAAACTCCATGAGCAGCTCCCTTCTATTTCTTCTGTATCGAACTAATAACTGTAATTGTACTGTCCCCCTAAGATCTAAGAAGGAATACTCATTCTTTTTTTATTTAGACAAAGTTCACTCGCTGCACTGTATCTATGGAAGAGCAGTATTGTCACCCTAGGATAGAACTACAGAATACCTCCACTGTCTTCTTCTCAACAACATAGTGGTAAGGCATTCTGTAAGAGTCAGCAGACAGCAGCAGAGAGAACAAGACATCAGCTCACAAGATTTCTGGCAGGATCAAAAGGTATTTTTGCACTTGTCAAACAGATATAACAAAACAAGTTCAATGACATATTTACCAGACCAAAAGAGTACAAATAAGAGAAGTCCACTGTTAGGGCTTAAGTACACTTTAAATTATTTACTAGAGAGGAACAGCCTGGGAACTTTACAGATCTGTGCTTTGAGACTATATTACAAGCACCCAGTTATAATCTGCCATCACCTTTAAAGTAGAACTAAATTCAAAACCTTTTTTTTTTCCCATTTTGGATGGAGTAAGGGAGGGTTATACCTCCGTCAATTTCTTTTTTTTTTTTGCTTGCTATCTGTGTCCCATTGGGGAGATTTCCCTTCACTTCCTGTCCCATCACCAAAACAGGAAGTGAAAGGAAATCCCTCTGATGTGAGTGTCCCTGTTGGAAGATTTTCCCTCTATTTCTGTTCTGGTGACAACCCAGACTTTAGGGTTTTCTTTTACTTTCATTATCTAGGATATTGAACAATAGGACAAACAGAGAGGGTAAATCTGCCTAACAGGGTCACAGACAGCAAGAAAAACCTGATAGGTGTTCTAATCCTACTCCACTCTATCCTAAACTAGAAAGAAAAAGTTTTGCCTTTAGTTATACTTCAAGGATAACAAGATTCACACACACTGTACAACACAAAAGGTCCATGCAGTACAACACCCAAGATCCATACAGTACAACACCCGGAACCTTCATGGTAGTCCTACAAAGTAAATGACATTTTTACCAGTGCTGAGCCGAGTGGGAGAATCCGGGGGGGTGTTGCTCAGGCGAGGTGACAGGAAGAGATAATTCCGATTGACCCCACAGTCAAAGTTAAATGGTGACTTATACTCATCCTGTGGATCGTACTCCCTGGAATCCATTACCGTTGTTCTAGTGGGTCATCGCATTCAAGCACATCAAATATCCCTTTCTTTTTTTAGTTCCGGTCTCTTTGAGTCGCTTCACTGCATTTCTCTTCAACTTATACAGAAATACTTTTATATTTTTTTCCCAGATCATCCAACAAGGCCACAATACATTCCTTCATTTGCCTGGAGATCCATCCCAACTCACATGACTGACGTTCCAAGCGGTTTAATGAGTTACTTCCCTGCTAAAATTGTTCTAAGTGGACAACCCTAGGCTTAGCCTGGACAAATGCCGGAAAAAAAAAAAACTCAATAAAAAAAAATAAATAAATAGAAAAGAAGGTTTGGAATGATTATGATACAAAATTAAACTGCATCATCACTGCGTTCATTTCCATCGGAATGGTGTAACGGGTTTAGAAAACATATACTGCGGACAATTAATATTGTGAAAATATCAGCGGTTTCACATGGAAGCCCGGCAGCATCTTAATCTTCTAGGGCACAAACAGATTACTGGCCAATATTGTTTGCAGCACACCATCTGTGCTCGAACGGTCATGAGCGAGGAGACTGCTTGCAGAGGCAATGTGATAATGTAGACCCTTCACTATATTTCTAATGTTGGTGAAAAGAGCTATAGATCTCTATATCTTTTCCTACAAGGACACATCCCGGATGCCCTACAGGAAAGTGCTTTTCAAATCAATCCATTACTTAATGCATCCTGGCCTTGCAAACCTCTGAGCCATGGGAATTATCTGTCTCTTAGACAGAGGGCTCTGTACATAATGCTCGGCGGTGTTCGGTGACAGCCATTAGCTGGTGACCTGGTTTTCCAGGCCACTTGGAGGAGCTACAGCACAGGACAAGTTCAACGTAAACAATTGTAATGTGGAACATATGGAAGTAATTGTGAGCACGTGGATACACTCCACACTTTGACTCCATTTTAATAACCCTCCAGCACCGTCATAAATACTATCATCACATTAACACTTTTTTTATGCTTCCTAAATATAACACATTCCTGGTGCACGCTGCTCCGAACATCTCAAAGGGTTCTCACTCTGCTAGTCAAAGGCAAGGCAAAGACAGCTGATATCCGAGGCAAAATATTTGATATAGATTTTTTATTGTTTTTCTTCTTCATTGTATTACTAAAAAAAAAAGGTAAAAGATAATTTACAACTAATCCAGCTGTGTTTAAATTTAAACGGATGGTATAGTAGACATTCAGGGGTTGATTTACTAAACCTGGAGAGTGCAATATCTGGTGCAGCTGCATAGAAACCAATCAGCTTCCAGTTTTTTTTTTTGTTCTGTTTTTTGTCAAAGCTTAAAGTGGAGTTCCACCCAAAAGGGGAAGTTGCGCTTTAAAGATTGGTACCCCGCTCCCCATTAAGGATTGGCACCTTTGAGGAGTGGGGGTAGGGGGGAACGGGTACCCCCAATGTGACAGGTACCCGCTCCCACTTCCGCTGCAATCGCATAGGCGATCGGGAACTAAAGTTGTCCTCCTACCCTCCCTCCCCGAAGTCTTGTGGGACACGTGACAGGTCCCAGAAGACAATGGGGCCATTCAGGATGCGCTGTGCTACTCGCACATGTGCAGTGGGCACCTGGCTGTGAAGCCGCAACCTGTCACAGCCGGGTGCCCCCACTGAAGATGCCAGTGCCTGGAATACAGAATGGCCAGTGAAACGGGCTGCGGCGGGGGCAACATGGGACAGGTGAGTGGCTGTTTTTTAAAAGTCAGCAGCTACAGTTTTTGTAGCTGCTGACTTATATTTTTACAGAGTGAGTGGAAATCCACTTTAATTGAACAAGCTGAAGTTTGAAACGGATTGGCTACCATGCAGAGCTGCACCAGATTTTGCACTCTCCAGTTTTAGTAAATCAGCCCCATAGCATGCATGTATTCTAAAGCTGAAATTTAGGTAAGAATTTTTATTGCACAGTTACATTGGTCCAGCTTAGACTAATGTAAGTATGTACAGTATGCCTCTCTCATACCTAAGTGATCCCTGTGGAAGCTGCACATCACTGTAGAAGTCACTGCTACTACAGTGATAGCAGTAGCCTTCAGGATACAGTGCTGAGGGTTGCCCTTCTGCATAGTAACTACATGGTTACTTGTTCGGCACTTCCACCATTCACAGAACACTTCATATTGTTTCCAGTGAATACAAGGCATTCTCTGATTGGATGAGGTAGAAAGGGCAGTGATGGCACAATCTCCACCTGGTCCAAACAGAACGCCTTGTATTAATTGAGAAATATATATATGGTGTTCTGGAAATTGTTACAGTGCCAAGTGAGAGACCCCCTGTGTTTACTATGTAGAAGGCCAAGGTGGTCAGCGCTGGACCTTGAAGACTGCTCCAACCACTGTATTAGCAGTCACTACTACAGTGATATTTAGCATCTACAGGAATCGCTCTGGTATGCATACTTATATTGGTCCAGGCTAGACCAATGTGACGATGTAATAAAATTCATACATACATTTCAGCTTTAATGAAAATGTAAACCCAATGTTTCATAATCCTAATATGTACGTGCTGTACCATGTACTTTTATGAAAAAGTATCCTGTTCTCTTTGTATTGCTTCCTTTGTGTTGAATCCCTGGTGTTCCTGACAGTCCCTCTGCTTTCCTATTAAAAACTAACCACTAGGCATGCAAGCACAGTGTGGTCAGTTCTCTAATTGCGCTAGGAACTCAGTCTGTTCTCCTCCAATGATCAGTTTTGCTGCAGTTTCTCCACCTTCACCTCTAAGAACAGAGGGTATGTGATCACATATAAAAAGGGGGAAAATGTATAATGTTTTTTTATATCTATACACAAATGTTTTGCCTTTCATTTCTATTTTAGACTGAATGGTGTGATAATTGTGTGCACAGATATGGACAATGACAACCATAATTTGGATCATACTCTGCAAATGTAAAAAATTCTCACTCCAAATCAGTCCCCCTCCCTTTTTTTTGAATGGCATGTGGTGTGTGTGTATGCTGGGGTCACAAGGCATCAGGCACAGCTGGATACGCTTCATGGTTGTAAACCCAATTAGCTGGTTCCATGGTGTCTGTCAGACTCTTGCCCTGGCCTGATCGTAAAGCTATATACCAGTCAGTCGCTGGACATGAAAGCATTCCAGGGTGGCAGTAAAACATACATCCCACTTGAAACCACTTTTTCATACAATTTCATAAATCCCGGCAGGAACAAGGTACAATAAAACAAAGCATATATTCAGAGAGGTCATTTTAATACAAGTCACCTGATACCTTACACCCCTAGAGAACGTCTACCAGAGAGCAGAAAGCGATCTCTCTTTAACCGGCACAGCCAGATATGTCATATTTGATGTCTGGACGTTCGTTCAGAATATGGTTCTGCATATTAACCTGCCAGTGGCTAGGCTGCTGCATGCACCTATGGAAGGATATTAACCATGGTATAAACGTGTGAGGGATTTGGTCATAGCCAGGGTCCCCGCCTAAACACTCCTCCCCAAATGAGGCAATTGGTTCTCTGCTTTAAGGAGACACCCTGCTGGGTTCCTAGAAAACAGGCTGTCATGCCTGAAGAGAGAAGATGAAGAGATTCTCCCTTTTAACATCAGGAACCAACTTCGGGAGAAAAGGTACCCTTTTGTTCAGGACACTTGAACTCTGCTTAAACCAGGACTTCTGCAAGTACTCTCTACCTTCTTAAACTTCTTCTCTGTTATCTCTCTGTTGTGTTATTTCTCTCTCTCTCTCTCTCTCTCTCTCTCTCTCTATATATATATATATATATGTTACATCTTTTCCGTAAATATTTTTATTGCACCATTTTGACCTTTTTAGTAATAAATCCTATTTTCTGAAAAGCTCTTTAATGCAAACTAAGAATCCCTGTCTCTGAAGAGTGCTACTGTGTGTTTTAAAACCTCTGGATACATCTGTCTGCGGTGACAGTGTGTATACAGACGCTTATTTAAACATCATAGTGTTACTGCTAAGATTTGTGAGTTTCCTCCTTCTCTGTAAAAAGGTGGTGGGTGGCAGTGTGAAGGGTTAATTGCGTAATTAACCTGACCCAGTAACAATCGCTCCCAGGCTGTTGGCACCTAGATTGGAGTCCAGTGAACTGGAAAATCTTTGTGCAGGGTGCAGCTGAGAGTGGCATTGTTACGCAAGTGGCAGCGCGGTTTTAGATTGGCTAGTCCTTCGGTCACAAGTTGGTGATAAGAGCTGGGGTCTGACGCCGCGCCTGTCACAAATGGGTTGTTTTACAAGGTGAGGGTTTACATACAGTTTGAAGCAGCAAAGCCTCAGAAATCATAACAAAAAAAAAAAAAAAAAAAAATCACCTTGCTGAGTGGGGGGAGCACCACTGACAGGGTTAAAATGCTAATTTCTGCCTAGGGTACCACTAAAAAAGCACTTTTTTTTTACTGTAGTCCTCACTCCCCCCAGCTGCCGGTACTCACCTCTCATCTCCAATTCTCCAAAAATGTACATTTAACCCTTGCAGGGGGATCCCTGCTGCAAGGGTAGATTTTTCATTTCCCCAGAGCTCAGCTTTAAGCTATTACTGTTTACCTGTGCGCCATTTTAAATTAAAGTTCTACCCATTAACAGACAACGCAAAATATACTTGTTGTTGCCCTTATCTGGAAGTGATTGGACTTGGGTTGCTTTTTATAATGGGGACAATGATAAAGGGGAAGTCTGTTTTTTTAACACACCCTGCACTAGCACTTACATAAGGACCATTCTCCATAAGTCACCGCAGTGGCTAAAGATAATTAACAAATTTATTTTTTTTTTCGGTGAATTGACTTTAATGTAATATTGTTTTTTTTTTGGCAATATTTACCACAGGAAATGACCAAATTTGTGGTATTTACTGCAAATTGGGTATTTAAAAGGATGAGTTCACCTTTTAACAAAAACAAATAAATGCACATTTTTTTGCAGGTAAAAAAAAAAAAAATGTGCATTTACTATTTTTTGTT